ACTCAGTCAGCAGTCCTCAGTGACTATAGATCTCCTGCCTTGTTCCAGGACCAAAGAAGACTCAGTCAGCAGTCCTCAGTAACTATAGACCTCCTGCCTTGTTCCAGGACCAAAGAAGGTTCAGCCAGCAGTCCTCAGTGACTATAGACCTCCTGCCTTGTTCCAGGACCAAAGAAGACTCAGTCAGCAGTCCTCAGTGACTATAGACCTCCTGCCTTGTTCCAGGACCAAAGAAGACTCAGCCAGCAGTCCTCAGTGACTATAGACCTCCTGCCTTGTTCCAAGACCAAAGAAGGTTCAGTCAGCAGTCCTCAGTGACAATAGATCTCCTGCCTTGTTCCAGGACCAAAGAAGACTCAGTCAGCAGTCCTCAGTGACTATAGACCTCCTGCCTTGTTCCAGGACCAAAGACCACTCAGTCAGCAGTCCTCAGTGACTATAGATCTCCTGCCTTGTTCCAGGACCAAAGAAGACTCAGTCAGCAGTCCTCAGTAACTATAGACCTCCTGCCTTGTTCCAGGACCAAAGAAGACTCAGTCAGCAGTCCTCAGTGACTATAGACCTCCTGCCTTGTTCCAGGACCAAAGAAGTTTCAGCCAGCAGTCCTCAGTGACTATAGACCTCCTGCCTTGTTCCAGGACCAAAGACGGTTCAGCCAGCAGTCTTCAGTGACTATAGACCTCCTGCCTTGTTCCAGGACCAAAGACCACTCAGCCAGCAGTACTCAGTGACTATAGACCTCCTGCCTTGTTCCAGGACCAAAGACCACTCAGCCAGCAGTCCTTAGGGACTATAGACCTCCTGCCTTGTTCCATGACCAAAGAAGACTCAGTCAGCAGTTCTCAGTGAGTATAGACCTCCTGCCTTGTTCCAGGACCAAAGAAGGTTCAGCCAGCAGTCCTCAGTGACTATAGACCTCCTGCCTTGTTCCAGGACCAAAGACCACTCAGCCAGCAGTCCTCAGTGACTATAGACCTCCTGCCTTGTTCCAGGACCAAAGACGGTTCAGCCAGCAGTCCTCAGTGACTACAGACCTCCTGCCTTGTTCCAGGACCAAAGACCACTCAGCCAGCAGTCCTCGGTGACTATAGACCTCCTGCCTTGTTCCATGACCAAAGAAGACTCAGTCAGCAGTTCTCAGTGACTATAGACCTCCTGCCTTGTTCCAGGACCAAAGAAGGTTCAGCCAGCAGTCCGCAGTGACTATAGACCTCCTGCCTTGTTCCAGGACCAAAGAAGACTCAGTCAGCAGTCCTCAGTGACTATAGACCTCCTGCCTTGTTCCAGGACTAAAGACTCAGCCAGCAGTCCTCAGTGACTATAGACCTCCTGCCTTGTTCCAGGACCAAAGACGGTTCAGCCAGCAGTCCTCAGTGACTACAGACCTCCTGCCTTGTTCCAGGACCAAAGAAGACTCAGTCAGCAGTCCTCGTTCCAGGACCAAAGACCACTCAGCCAGCAGTCCTCGTGACTATAGACCTCCTGCCTTGTTCCATGACCAAAGAAGACTCAGTCAGCAGTTCTCAGTGACTATAGACCTCCTGCCTTGTTCCAGGACCAAAGAAGGTTCAGCCAGCAGTCCGCAGTGACTATAGACCTCCTGCCTTGTTCCAGGACTAAAGACTCAGCCAGCAGTCCTCAGTGACTATAGACCTCCTGCCTTGTTCCAGGACCAAAGACCACTCAGCCAGCAGTCCTCAGTGACTATAGACCTCCTGCCTTGTTCCAGGACCAAAGACCACTCAGCCAGCAGTCCTTAGGGACTATAGACCTCCTGCCTTGTTCCATGACCAAAGAAGGTTCAGCCAGCAGTCCTCAGTGACTATAGACCTCCTGCCTTGTTCCAGGACCAAAGAAGGTTCAGCCAGCAGTCCTCAGTGACTATAGACCTCCTGCCTTGTTCCAGGACCGAAGAAGACTCAGCCAGCAGTCCTCAGTGACTATAGACCTGTTGCCCTGACAACCACATCATGAAGGTCCTAGAGAGACTTCTATTGGTTCACCTCAGCAAGCAAACAAGCATCTATCAGGACCCCCTGCAGTCTGCTTATAGCCATGGAGACAAAGTTGTTAATGTCATCATCCACCTGCTTCAACAAACCCACTGTCATTTAGAGAAGGCAGACAGCACTGTGAGGATCGTGATCTTTCATTTCCTCAGAATATTTAACTCCATTCAGCCTCAGATGGAGATGAAGACTCAGGTGGAGGCATCAACATTTACCTGGATCAAAGACTACCTGACAAACAGACCACAGGTTGTTAGACTGAAGCCTCAGCTGTCTGCAGTCATTGGGAGCATCAAAGATGGAGCAGAAGCTGAGGACAGAGAGCTGGTGAAGCGCTTTGTTGCATGGTGTGGAAACAATCATCTATCCACATTTCACATCCATGAATGGATTCAGCAATCACCTAAACACTGGGATCCATTAAACACATTGTGAAATTTGTGATGTATCAACAGCGCCCCTCTGTGGTCAATCTACCAAATGCAAAAACAGGCTGCTGGAATATTTTAACTCCATAAACACAGTTGGATCCAGAGTCACAAACAAAAGGTTAAGCAGATTAAAAAGCAATTATTAAAACCGGTACTCTGAGAAATACACTAATTCAATTTTGGTAGAAAATAAACCTTCTAATGAACTTCCCGATGTGGTACATGGATGAAACCATCCAACAGTCAATCAGACCCAGCAACATTAAAGTCATCATTTATCCAGCATGGTGGAGGCAGTCTCTGGGTTCACACAGTAAAGTCAGCAGCCTCACCTGCCAGGTGTCTCTATTTCTGCAGAATATTCAGGCTTTCAGTTTTTTCTTTGACTTCATTCCATCCGTCTGAAGAGACAGTCAGTTTAGTCTCTTTTATTCACCCCAGATCTGTTTGCAGGAGAATCTGGAAATGAGCTAAATCCAATTAACATTCAATTCAGTTTATTTCTATAGCTGCAATTCACATCATGTCATCTCAGCTCACTTTATAGAGACAATTCAACCAGATCATCCAGTCAGATTGATTCAATTTTTAATCTAAGGAAAACCAGCTGATTGCATCAACTCATTGACTCTTCAGCAATCCCTCACACTAAGCATGCTTGTAGCGACAGTGGAGAGGAAAAACTCCCTTTTAACAGGAAGAAACCTCCAGCAGAACCAGGCTCAGTGTGAGCGGCCATCTGCTGAGGCCCACTGGGGTTCAAGGAGACAGAAGCAGACATAGAAAAAGGAGCATAGATACAAAAGGCAACTGTCAACCAGCTCCACAGGCGGCCCCGTCCAGGAAACACACAGCCAGGCAGACGAGCTCCGAGCCAGCTCCCATGTCAGAGGATGAAGAGAGCACATCCAGTTAGTCACAGTCAGAGAAACAGGACTACACTGGAAAACAGGCCAAGCTCCAACATCTAGAAACAAAGGTGTTGATGGCAGCAGCACAGCTGATATTTCTCTCAAATCCTCCCTCTTCAAGTTGGCGATCCAACGACCAACCCGTCCGTGGAGGATCAGGAATCAGAAAGGTGGAATAACTCTTTTTTTTCACTTTTACCCGATGTATTCCAGCATCCAGCTGCCATGCACGTGGGCATTGTCAGTTTCACTATAGCTCTGGTGAATTTCAATATTTCCATACATTTCTTTTTTTTACTGATTAACACTAAATTCATTAAATCAACACAAACATATTAGTTTTAAGTATAAATAACGATCCATTGATTATTCCTTGCTGATTGGACTTTTCCATTAATCAGCGGGGGGTCGGTCTGGTTTGGGGACCAGCGGATTTCGTCTCTCTCTGTAGATGAGATTCTGCTGATTCCCACTGGGCCGGTCACAGCAGGGTGCCAAGCGGCCATCTTTAGTCTTTAACAGGCTGATTGTTTGTGCTTTCACTCTTTTTTCTCTGGTTTCACTGATTTTGTTGAATTTAAAGACTTATTTTTAGCTTTCTGATCTTAAAGCTCCAGATGAATTCAGAAAACTCGCTGAAACACATTATTCTCCTGTAATTAGAAACAGAAGCCTGTCTAGGTAGACCTTCAGGTCCGATGGTGTTGCTCGGTAATATTTAGACCATAAGTGAAGCAAAGAGGTGAAACTCATTTATTACAGATTTTCAGCCTGACAGTTGACCCTGGGTTTGGTTTCTCAGATGCTTTGTTTTGTGTTTCAATCATCTCCAAGATGTCGGGAAACTTTTTTTATGCTTCAATATCAAACATTTATGCTGAACAAAAAAAGGACTTAAGGCTGTAAACGTTGACCTTCCACTCAACTTTCCAAACATGCAGCTTCTTCAGCAGTGACTCTTTGATTTCATCTTCCATTTCTGAGAAAAAGCATTTTAGTATTTTTATCAGCTTTACACTCTAATCAGAGTTTAATAGAGAAACTGATATAAACTTTGACAGTTTATTAAGATGAACCACGATCTTTAAAGATCATCAGAGAAAGCAGAATGACAGGAGGTGCAAAGAGACCAGACGACTGTGTGCAAAAGTAATAATGTTTAATTCAAATAAAACCATGCAGCAGGTGACCGTCACCCTGATTAGACCCGTTACAAAATAAACACCCAAAGCCCCAGATGGTCCCTGGTGATCGTTCACCCAATGACAGCGGAGAGAACTCCAAAATAAAAGAAAAGGAAAACCTGGAACCCCGCCGCCTCCCGTTCCCCACTTAGCATGAAGCACTATGAACCATATGGCACAGAATGAAGCTGCCGCTTGTTTCTCTGAGCTGGACATGCAGTAGATCAACAAAGGTCCCCAGAAGTTTAGGAAAAATGCAGTCGACCGAAACGAAGGGTTAAATCATGTGGTCTTTTGGGGGGGTATGATGAGCAGAACGTCTTTAAACATTATCCCAAATCACGCAGATTATCCCAGCCGGTCGGCTGCTCGGCCACAGAACGGCCCCCCCCCCCCACCCCCCCCCCCCCCCCCCCCCCCCCCCCCCCAATGAAGAGGAGGCTGCTGACGGTGCTGGACAGGTGAGGCGGGTGGGGGTGGGGGTGGGGGGGGGGTGGACTGTCAGTTGCTGTACACCTGGCCTTCAGGTGGCTGGGACAGCCGGCTGTTCTCTTTCATCATCATGTGCTGCCTGAGCTCCTGCAGCACCATCTTGATGCTGTAGGAGTTCTTCCACCGCGCCAGCGACGACACGGACTTCAGGTCCACCTGAGGGGAGGAGAGTGACATCACTTTGGAGAGCAGCTTTGCTGTGACACTGAATTCATCTAAGAACAGATTTAAATATTCACACTTCTAAAGACCAAAGTGATCTTTCTATCACCTGAAGAACATCTGCAGGATTAAAGGACAGATGCTGAAAAATTACTTCCTGTTTCATTCAGCTTTAGTCTGATCCACAGGTCTGCCTGCTGCCTGCGTCCTCACTAGAACTAAGCCCAGAGTCCACATCCTCCTTCCCCGGCCCGCCCCGCCCCGCCCCGCCCACGTACGTCCTGCGGAGTACCGGCGCAGTCATGTTAATCAAAGAGCACTGTATGCCAGTGAGGATTCTCAGTCCTCCAGGTCAGTCATACCATGGACAAAGAAGACAGGTGGTTTGAGAGGGGCGTGAAGGAAGCCATCTATGTTAGGAAAGAAAAACCAACCTCAAACAAGATCCGCAATTGCAATCAAACCAAACAGTAAAAAAAAATGTCGAGAAGATCCGGTTAGTCAGAGTAAAATATGGTAACGCTGGATCGGTGACTACAAATTAGAGCATAATTCTTCTATCCTGATAAACCAGGCTAAATGTGAGATTAAATGTGTAATCTAGTCTGGCCCCAAGCGCGACAGGAAGCTGGTGGGGGAGTGGAAACAAACAGCCTGTCGGTAAAACGGAGAATACGTCCACCTTAAAAGTGAATGAGCGTAGAGCCTCTTCCTGCTCACGTTTCAACGAAAACCTAAAGTCTAATCCTTCTAGAACCGATTCCAAAGCTGAGTCTAACCAGATCTGTTCCATAGTTGTTGCCATCTTCCTTGTTTTGCTTCTCCAGCGTCATGCAGCTTTGTCGCCACGCCCTCAAAACGCCGCCCACTATGCATCCAGACCTTCAGAACACATCTCTGCGTTGTGATTGGCCAGCCAGTTCTAGGGCCTGGGGCGTTGATCGAGGCTTAGACCACTCGCAGGCAACAACGATTTTGGCCGCTGGCGGGTGGGGCTACTTTACTAGGCTATAATTCGTCTATATTCCGAAAAACTGAGAGCGTTTAATTAAATGATTGGATGCAAACTGTTGGTACTTCAACAGACCAAGAAGCAGATTTCTCATCTCTATCAAAATATTAAAGTAGTGAGAGCCAAAAGTGCATCAGAACCAAACATGGAGAGGCAGCTTTTAGCTCTTCTGCTCCAATAACCTGGAATAAACCCACAGAAACTGGGAAAGCTCTACACCAGAGTGGCCTTTGATTCTATCCAAACCTTCAGTTTATTGTCCAGTTTTTCTCCTGCTGCCTGCTTCATTATTTCTTTTATGTACAGAACTTTGCTGCACAGAGGATGGTCTGCCCCTCTGAAGCAGTCCTGTGAAGGTGTGAGGTTTCAGAACCAGCCTCTGCTGTACCGTCCGTCCCCGTCCGAGGCTGAAGGTTTGAAGCCTGCTCATACAGGGCTGGAGTTAACCATTGTTGGCTATAAAGGCCTCATATAAGAGAACATAGAACCAAGGGAAGGTGTGTCCTTCTACAACTGGGTGCATTCATAGATTGAAACTTTGTGGCACATGGACACTCACCACACCAGTGGAGCTGCTCACACCGTTCATGTTGATCCTGTTCACAAAGCGGACGACGGGCGGCACCTCTGGGTACCTGGCACCGCAGTCTATCTTCAGGCTGTATATCCTACCTTCATAAACCGTCTGGAACAGAAACGGAGAAAAGACCACTGCATTAATCTCTTCTTCAGCACCAAACTTCTGCATTACAGCCTAAGAAAGGCTAACAAAGAAGCCAAACGACCCCCATTCCAGAGGGGGGGACCCGTTCATCCGTTTCTATTCGCATGTTTTCTAAACTAAAACAAAGCTTTGTTGGGCTGCTGGATAAAACCTGGAACTCAACGCTATTTTTGACATTTTGGATTGAAAAAGCTTCCTGGATGGAAGAGAAACGACTTCAAACAAAGTCCATTGGATTGATTTTGAAAGTTTTTTGGAATTAGTTTTTAATAAACTGATAATCTGCAGAAGTATGACAGAACCTCTGCTTTTAAAGGTGTACTGTTCAAAGAGCTCTGAACGTTTGGATGAAGCTAAATGTTGCCTCACAGAAAACATTTGGTCCATCAGGGTAAAAACATCAGTGTGGGTCCAGAGTCTTCACAGTGCATCAAGTTAAAGCAGCATCGTTTCATTGTACACGGCTGTATGGAGCTTAAAGTCGTAGGGAAGCAGCCGTTCCAACCGTTGCATTTGCGAATTCTCCCGAGTGGCGGAAGGTTCGCAAGCACGTTTGGTTGTGGCCGGTTTCTCTGAAGCATCTTGCTAACCAGTTAGCAACTTAGTGCTAGTAGGTTCCCAATGGGAAATTCCATTGGGACCAAGTAGCACTAAATTGGTGACTTAGAAACGACGCTGTCAAGGAACGCTATGGACAGAGGAAACATGCAAGAGGAGGAGAGTTTAGTGTCGGAGGTCGTGGATGAGTCTCCTCCGTCATCCATTTTTTATTTAGAGGAGGAAAGCGGGGACGAAGATGTTGTGGAAGAGGACGCCAGGGCGGCAGAAGCTTGGTTTGGTGTAGAAGGCTTCCAGCCGTACATGTTTGAGCCCTTGCCTCGCAACGCTGCCAGTTCTGTTAGCTCTACGCCTGCCGAAGACACAGACGTCCATCCCCGTGAACACTGGGACGCAACCCAATGGGAAAGGAAAGGATTCTGATTTCAACCGTTGCGTATATTAGCTGTGACACATGAATCAAGATGCTATGACCGAAAACATGTGATTGACAGATGATTGTTGATATATGATTGGATGAATTTAGGTGTTCAGGCTGACGTAGAACTAACTGGCCTGCAGAAGATAACAGAAAAAACAAGACAGATTTTAAGACAGGATTTTTTTTTTAAATAGAAAGATTTCACCAGTCCATTCTAAACCAGTACTTTTTAAACAAGTAAATGTAAGAGCATATTTCTAATATAGTGGTTACTAGGATACTGGGTCATACAAAAAAAAAAATAAATAAATGAATCACCCGGAGCTAATAAAGATTGCTCCAACCGGAAACTGAACCATGACAGTATTTGCATTTAGAAAAAAAAAAAAAAACAGTCGCTAAATGCAGCTCAATTTGCTTGGAGGGGCTGAATGCTGAGCGTAAATTAGGAGGGAGGAGAAGTTTGCAGTGCAGTCAGGGGCAGTGGAAATCTTCACATACGACAAACAGCATCCAAGCCTGCTACTCCTCTGCTGGAAACCTGAGGAGCGGAACATGCTGAGAGGCCTTTTTCTAACCAACATCTTCAGATGTGACAGCATTACCCAGAAACAGCTCAGAGCGGTTAGAAGCGCTGTCCTACAGGGATCTGTTGGTGGACAGACATCTGAGGACAGCGTCCTCTTTAAGGTCCTGAGTGGAGCTCACCTTTGGGGGGCCGATGATCATGCCATTCCAGTGAGCGAGCCTCATGTCTTCGTCGTCTGCCAGGCCCCAGCTCACCGTGCCGTCTCCGCCGCCTTTCTGCCCTTCTTCCAGTTCCTCCAGCAGCCGAAAGCTGCGAGGAACAACAACACCTTTTACACACAGACAGGGAGAGGTCATTTAAAGGAGCGGCAACACACTGGAGGAAAACTGACAACTCACTCAACCGTCAACAGGATCGCAAGTGGCAGCAATACCCAGAGCCAGAAGTGGCATATGCCATAAAAAAATAAAAATAAACTGCATACAATAGTTTTTTAAAAAAGAGGCATAGGCCAGTCAGCAGATGGGCATAGGCCAGTCAGCAGATGGGCATAGGCCAGTCGGGAACCAGCATACCCCAGAAGGCAAGCGGAATACGCCATTTGGGAACCTGCATTTGCCATTTCTCAACTGGCAGATGCCGGTATTACAGGTGAACTGAATTGACATTAAATGCTATAAATAAGGATTTACACAGAAGCCCGGAGAAGTCGTACTCAACGTTTTATTTTTTTCTTTATTTTTTGTCTTGTTGGGATGACAACATAACATGAGAAAGCAGTTAATAGAGTTAACAGTTATATACTCATTGTCAGGTGGTGGTGGATGATTGGATTGCATGGAATACAGTAGAAATAAATCTTTTTATTAATGAATCTTTAATCTGGACTCATTTTGGGGTTAATGCATCTTATAGCTGTTCCAGGCGTAACACCTGGAGTCATAGATCTGACTGATTATGAATCAGAAGTGGAAATAAATCATCAACGTCGTCTCGTTACCTAAAAGTTAAACACAGGATTATTTCCAGGATCACAAACAGGCTGCAATGACTTCTAAAACCTCTCCTGCTGTTGTGGGATTGAAGGATGGAATCCGTTTTAACTCACACCAACCATCTTGTTATGATGAGAAAACGGCTTTAGTTATCTTTAGTTACTGAGAAAAATTAACTCTTTAAAAAGTATCGGAGGGACACGACCGCTCTCAGCTTCCGTACATTTCATATTTTTTATTTAAAAATCGTTTTTTTTTATGTTTTAGATTGACCTGATTTATTACTTTGTAGTTATATTTACTTTCTTGTATGTCTTCATTAAAGGTATAGGGGAGGATCTTTTATTGTAGGCCATCCTACGTGCTCGTCCCGTTACACATTCTCACTGCGATTCTTTGAAAATGGCCGAGGGTCGGAGGAGAAAAAGGGTCTGCGAAGTGTATGAGAAGAAAAGAAAGGCCTCAGAGGCAGATATATCCTGCCTGCCTCTCCTGGCAGATGGGATATATCTGCTTGGAGAGTTCTCCTCGCAAAGCATTATGGGATATGATGTCATAGGAGGAATTACGTGACCAACGCAGCAAAAAGTAGTGATCATCTGTCTGAACGGTCAGTTAACTGAGTTCACTGTAAAGTCCACTATATAGTCCCCCGCTGTATGTGGAGCAGTAAGCCAGTATGAGCCATTACAACCGCACATTTTAAACAGCGCGTGCACGGGGAGAAATATTCTCATGCGTGCAATTTTTTTTCTTAAAGTGGAGTCTTTTAAAAAAAATCCTCCACAAGACCGTTACTGGTTTGTGAAATCATGCTTGTGAGGATTCTCTGTCATCCAGGTCATAGTCAAAAAAACGATCCACTGGGCCTTGTTTTTGAGTTTTAGGACGTCTCTCTTCCATCCAGGAAGCTTTTTCAATTCCAAATGTCAGAAATAGCGTTTAGTTCCAGGTTTTATACAGGAGCCCAACAAAGCCTGGTTTTAGTTTAGAAAACATGCAAATAGAAACGGATGAACGGGCCCCCCCCTTTGGAATGGGGGTGGTTTGGCTTCTTTGTTAGCCTGCAATGCCCCATACCTGTCTATGTCTCTGAAAGGGGGGGTGTTAAAGGGAATTGTTGGCCTGGCTGAACAGGCGAGGTCTTCTGTTCCCCTGTTTGGGGTTGTGATGATGGGGGGAAGGAATCAACTCTATCGCTGCATTGTAGGTTTTTGAAAGCTTCTGTTTAAGGTTGTTTTTTCTTTCTTAAAGGAATAGTACACCCAAAACATGATTAGCCTTCATTTTCTACTCACCCCCATGCTGAACAACACTCTGGAGTACTTTTTTGATATCTCAAATGCATCTGGAGATCTGGGAGGCTTCTTGCTGTCTGCTGACATTCAAATAATGGAGGTCTATGGCACCCGAGGCAGAAAGGTCCATAAAAGTCCACAAAAAACGTGTCAATATTCCTCCATACTGCTCGTCCAATGTATTCCAAGTGTCCTGAGTGGGTAGCGTCCATAATTTACTCGAAACGAAGTCATTTAGAATGTTTTTAGAGCATAAACAGTAGTGTATAGGATTTCCTGAAAGCGCGTTCACGAGTCTACGGAAACCGCAGCAGACCAAACCAGATGAAAGTGCGCATTCAGCTCGGCAAAGAACTCATACTCTTCCTCAACACTGAAGTCCTCAGACATTTTTCTTTCGTTGCTTCTTTCTTTGCACAGGTAGACAGCACATTTCTTCTTCTACGCTTGCATTATCGGCAGAGCAGACGCTGAATGCGCACTTTCATCTGGTTTGGTCTGCCGCGGTTTCCGTAGACTCGTGAACGCGCTTTTAGGAAATCCTATACACTACTGTTTATGCTCTAAAAACATTCTAAATGACTTCGTTTCGAGTAAATTATGGACGCTACCCACTCAGGACACTTGGAATACATTGGAAGAGCAGTATGGAGGAATATTGACATGTTTTTTGTGGACTTTTATGGACCTTTCTGTCTCGGGCGCCATAGACCTCCATTATTTGAATGTCAGCAGACAGCAAGAAGCCTCCCAGATCTCCAGATGCATTTGAGATATCAAAAAAGTACTCCAGAGTGTTGTTCAGCATGGGGGTGAGTAGAAAATGAAGGCTAATCATGTTTTGGGTGTACTTTTCCTTTAACATAACAGGCTTCCTTCACGCCCCTCTCAAACCACATATTTCCTTTGTCTAAAATGTGAACATTCTGATCCTCAAAATAATGTCCTTTGTCCTCTCGTTTGTGCTATTATATATATATATATATTTTTACAATAAATCAGTTACTATTAGTTAAGAAGTACTTCAGTGGCCCCTACACAAGTAATAGTTTTGCTACTGGGTAAGCTTACTGTAGTAAAAATATTTTAAACTAGTGTTGCTTCCAGTTCAGTCCACGGTTCACCATGAAAGCACAGCCTGGTTGGAGCAGCAGGATCACAGTCTGCTGGGAATTCAGCCTTTTCTCTTTATAAACTCTTTCCTAACCAGAGATCCTAGATAATCTGACTGGTTTGCATGGCTATTATTACCTTCTTCCTTGTTGGACCAGTTGTTAAACAGCCAAGCTCTTCCTGCTCTGAACAGCTCCGCTCATGACTCGGTGCTCCCCCTGCTGGCGGGATGGAGGAACTTCCACACTATTTGTTTATTAAATCAAGCAGCGACCAAACAGACCAGGCTGATACCGAGGAACAAGGGCTCAGCATTTATAAACACGCATTGCCGAAACTTCTCTTACTTTAATACATCTTTATTAATTAACAGCTTCTCTCACTGAGGTTCAAGATTTCATTATATATTATTTATAATTATTTATAAATGGTCAAAGTGGGAGAAATGTCTTGAGCAGGAAGATAGAAAACATTATTAGAGTTGAAAACAGAAAGATAAAGTTTTAAACCGTTTTCTTGGGGAATGCTATAGGTCTGGTCTGTTATAATATAATAATAAGGATTGCGATGCAGATCATCAATAATCAGAAACACAGGAGGCCCACCCTGACCGGAACAGTTAGCAGTATCAGCTGCTGTGTCGCGCGGCCAGCCGACCTGCTAGCTAGCTAGCCTTGGTGGCAGACTTCATTCAGCCCGAATCAACATCTCATTTACCGGCAGTTAGACTCTAATAAAGCCGGTAACCGAATCACAGCTGATCGGAACGCCTTCCGACATGATCCCTGTGGGGAAATCATCTATCAACACGCTAGAAAAACTGTCCGAGAAGATAGAAACAATGATTACCTGCAGCAGAGGACGCCATGTTGTCACTGCGCTGTCTGTTACGCGCACGTCTGACGCTCGTTCGCGATTACGCAGGCCTCCAGTGAACCAATAGCAGGTGAGCTGCCAGAAGGGAAGGGTCCCGCAGAGCAGGAGCTGCGTGAAGCTGACACCCCACCCACGTCAAAAAAACAACGTTACTGCAGATTTGTGCAGAAAAAAATATTGTTTGTGCTATTTTTGTTGAAGAGATATTAAAGATTATTTTTTAGGTCATCCAGAGGTCACCATCCCCCCATTAAACTCCAATTTGAACCAAAGTGGTCTCCTTTTTTAGTGCTTCGTTTGTGCAGTTAAAACGGTCATTTGTGCTATTTTAGTTTTTAAGATATAATCATTTTAATTTTTGGCTATCTTAAAAAGTAAAGCAGCACAAATGACCGTTTTAACTGCACAAATCAGCACAAACGAAGTACTAAAAAATGAGACCACTTTGGTTCAAATCGGAGCTTGATGGGGGGATGGTGACATCATCAGCCAAAAATTAAAATTATTATATCTTAAAAACAAAAATAGCACAAATGACCGTTTTAACTGCACAAACGAAGCACTAAAAAAGGAGACCACTTTGGTTCAAATTGGAGTTTAATGGGGGGATGGTGACCTCTGGATGACCTAAAAAATAATCTTTAATATCTCTTAAACAAAAGTAGCACAAACAATATTTTTTTCTGCACAAATCTGCACTAACGTTGCACTAACCATTCAGTCTATTTGCAGAGTTTTTTGACGTGGGTGGGGTGTCAGCTTCACGCAGCTCTCGGATGTTTCTCCGCTCGCTCGACTCTCAGTGACCATGGAAATATTTCATATGTATGTGATTGTTTTCAAAAAATAAAATGCATGTAGAAAAATTTGAATTTCAACTGCAGTTATAGTGATTCTTGTTTACCTTCCAAAACTCACACTACCTTTGCAGATCAGCAGTATTTCTTTCTATAAAGACACGATATAAGGAGGTAGGTAATACTTCTTACTTACTTTGAAAAACAAACAAACCATGGTTATTTTGTGTTAAGTTATTATGCTCCTACCTTAGTTGGCTTTATTTGAGGTCTTTTGGGGTTGTAACGGAGTCGGAGGAGTTAACTACACCTGTGTAGAGCCTAATTTCTCTGTAAATCTGACAGTAACTGCAGATCAATGTCAATCACTTTTTAGAGAGTTATATTGGATATTTCATTTAAATGATTGTTATTTCAATCTTATTCTTAGTAATATTGTTTTTTTAATATATAATAAACTTCTTCCTCTGTATTTTATGCCATCCCCTCACCTCATAGCTGCCAGGAGCACATATCATGTCCCTGTTCAAATAGGGATCTGTGTAGATCACGCATAACTCACCCACTCAATGGCACATTCGCTTTCTGTTCTTTTTTTCATATTTTTTGCATAAGCCTTTTATCATCACTTATGTTGATTCCCTTTAGACCAGACTTTTAGTGTTTTTAGGGACATTAAATGATTGCTAGACAATTCTGTAAATGTTCTTGAAAGTTTCTCTTAAAGTAACAGATCTCTGTATGCCGACTTTATATAGGAAGTATCGAAGAAACATTTCAACAACATCACACTTTCTAGGAGATCCAGAAATGGAGAACTATCTGAGAGGGAAGAAGAGTAACAAGACAGGTCTCAGTTCCAATGTATTCTCCCAAGATACATTGCCACACAATGAGTGGAGACAGAGTTAACCTGCAAATTAAGCTGTTCTTTAAGCAAAGGCACTAATTCACCTCTCTCCTCTTTTTAAAAGGTGCCCAGAAGGTCCAAATGAACTATTGCAGAGAGAGAAAAGAAAAGCTAAAGGTAATTTTAACACTCTTGAATGTAAAGACCAGAAAATAAATCCAATATTGGACAAACAATGCTGGAATTGCATGTGAAAAATTAATTAGTTTGTATTCCGGTGGAAGTATGATGCAAAAATGCAACCTCAACTGACTGTAACTTTCAAAGAGGCTTAAAGGAATAGTACACCCAAAACATGATTAGCCTTCATTTTCTACTCCCCCCCATGCTGAAGAACACTCTGGAGTACTTTTTTGATATCTCAAATGCATCTGGAGATCTGGGAGGCTTCTTGCTGTCTGCTGACATTCAAATAATGGAGGTCTATGGCGCCCGAGGCAGAAAGGTCCATAAAAGTCCACAAAAAACGTGTCAATATTCCTCCGTACTGCTCGTCCAATGTATTCCAAGTGTCCTGAGTGGGTAGCGTCCATAATTTACTCGAAACGAAGTCATTTAGAATGTTTTTAGAGCATAAACAGTAGTGTATAGGATTTCCTAAAAGCGCGCGCCTGCGCGTTCACGACGCTACGGAAACCGCGGCAGACCAAGCCAGATGAAAGTGCGCATTCAGCGTCTGCTCTGCCGATAATGCAAGCGTAGAAGAAGAAATGTGCTGTTTACCTGTGCAAAGAAAGAAACAACGAAAGAAAAATGTCTGAGGACTTCAGTGTTGAGGAAGAGCATGAGTTCTTTGCCGAGCTGAATGCGCACTTTCATCTGGTTTGGTCTGCCGCGGTTTCCGTAGACTCGTGAACGCGCTTTCAGGAAATCCTATACACTACTGTTTATGCTCTAAAAACATTCTAAATGACTTCGTTTCGAGTAAATTATGGACGCTACCCACTCAGGACGCTTGGAATACATTGGACGAGCAGTATGGAGGAATATTGACACGTTTTTTGTGGACTTTTATGGACCTTTCTGCCTCGGGCGCCATAGACCTCCATTATTTGAATGTCAGCAGACAGCAAGAAGCCTCCCAGATCTCCAGATGCATTTGAGATATCAAAAAAGTACTCCAGAGTGTTCTTCAGCATGGGGGTGAGTAGAAAATGAAGGCTAATCATGTTTTGTGCCTTTAAGTAAAAAAAAATAAATATTGCCTTTATTGTATTTCATAAAAAGAACTGCAGTTACAAAAAGAGATTTTAATTGACACTGAAACCTTTATACCCATGCCATTGAATCATGCATAAAGGAATATATACTTTGTTTAGCTATATAATTATATAACTTCAGATTTACTCAGGCTTATAGAAGCTATTTTATGCAGTTATTCAGAAGACCTTCATGCAGCAGCAACTTGATGAAATTATTTTCTCCATAACCTTAGTAGGCTTTGACATGTGTGGATGCATTTTGCATTCGGCCCTGCTGTAAAACAGCTTTAATTTTCACACAAGAAAGAGAAAACAAATGTGACTCCTGTTTGTTTGTAAAGGTCATGAAGTCATCAATTTAACACATTAAAGAATCACAATATTTTTACATGCATCAAAGCATATGTCCCAAACCTTGATCTTTTTACATTGGTCTGATCAATTATAATCTTGGACTAAGTGTCATGTTGGGTTTTGGATTCAAAACCATATGCAGAACACAACCAGCAGGCAGGGAAAAAGTTCAAAGTTTTAAGGAAGAGAGCATAACAAAAACAGGTCAGGTGGATAATCTGGTCCAGGGGCTGGTCACGACTGGATTCACTGGTCAGAGGTTTGTGCTGAGTGGCAGAAAGGGGAACCAGGGGGGTCCAGAGGCAGACGGCAGGCAGAGGGCTGAGGTTGGGTTCTCCAGGGTTCTACTGAAATCAGGCAGACCGATTTCCAACAGAGAAAACTCTTCAGGGGGGTTTCTGGTTTCAGGCAGGTTCAACCTGAGAAGCAGAGAAGACAAAAAGGATCAGGTTCATGTTTTTGTAGTCAGGAGAAAAGACAGGCAGGTTGGCTCAGGGTTTGCTGTACCGTGACTGACTAACACTCTGGCACTGGAGTGTGGTCCTCAGCCCACTTAAATGCTGGTCTCCTGATGAGCAGATGAAGAACAGCTGGTGAAGTCAGCTCCAGCCTCAGGAGATCCAGTACGCCCTCTGGTGGAGAAAGGTAGACAGACCCCCAGATCCCAACAGTAACACAACCCCTCAGGAAGGGATCCTTGGCGCCCTCTGGTGGGCAAGCCTCAGGATCCCAACACTAAGCTGTTTTAATTTTCTTATGTTTTCTGAATGCATTTATTATATAAAAGGTGGAAAAAACTTAAGGAGTGAAAATTACTGTAAAATTGGTTTGAAAGTGTTTGTTTCCAAATCTATCTCAATTCTGCACATCTTTGCCTTTTCCGCTTTGTCAGATTTACATGCAATTGCATCTACGCTGTCATTCCTATGTCTCCAGGCGGTAGTAGCAATGTTAGAGAATAAAACGACCAACCTTGTGGATGACATCACTCTGCTGGAAATTAAAGTGTCTGCTAGGCAAATTAGCTATGACGATTGGCTTATAAAAGAGAAGCCAACTCAGCTACAAGGAAAAAGGTATTTGAAGGCAGGTATCAAAAAATTTGTTTTGATATCTGATGACCAACTTAACATCATGTTTTAAGATTTGCTGTGAATCTGATTGCTGTTTTTCATCAACAGAATTGGAAATGCTGCCAAGTCCAAACAAGAGAGCAGTGATGCTTTAGATAAGTTGCTAAGAGAAACAAGTGCAATGAGTAACAAGTAAACTATTTATCTATTTTAGATTTTATCAAGCACTGCTTATTCTGCAGGTGCATGCTTTCCTATGTGACTCTAATGCCGCTGTCTCTTCTTTGAAGTGAATTCAAAGAGAGTAAGGATGAACTGAGAAGACATATGGGTTATGCCGATCAGTTGTTCAAGCTAGCACCAACATGGCAGGCAGTGAAAGAAGCTGAATACCTGAAAGCTAAAGACCCTCAGATGGAAACCAACACCACACCTGAAGAAATTGCAGACAGCAAATGTAAGACATCATTGGTCTTTTTTAAATTAAGAATTAATCTAATCCCTTCAAATCTTACAAATATTTTATGGATCCCCCCCCCCCAAAAAAAAAAAAAATGGTTTTCTTTGATAGTTTAAAGTTAGCGCACTAACCAAAAACTCATTTATTAGTTAATCATGTACAACAATGTAGGAGGACTAATAAAGAATTTATGCTCTTTTGGGAACTTTTTTATGTTTTGTAAGGAAGAGTTTCTCTCTGAAGTATCTAGGAATCTTCAATGCAATCAAAAAACAACTGCTTA